TCATACCCTTAAGGTTAATTATAATTATAATTAATTATAACCCTTGCATCATCATTACAGCAATGTGCTCAGGGTGCAGCCCTACATATGCGGGGCAGTGCCTTCATTACTGCGTTGTGTCCAACAGGTGGCCGCAGAGCTGCAGTGCTCCTGAGAGCTTTAAAGACAGCATGGAGATGCGTGGGTCTTCACGGCAGCAGCAAGGAGCCAGAATCTGCATTTCCTGGAATGCCACGGAACCCCACTTTGCTGGCTGGTAATTGTCTGCCCAGCAGGTAAGGGCAATGCTCACCCACCAGTGTTTACCCACTCCATAGCATGGCACAACACGGTGCTCCCAGAGCTCTTAATTGAACTTCACGGTGCCCAGAAGGCTGCCTGTCCTTTTCTTTCTGTGTTCTCCTTGTCTCTGGTCTTTCCCTGCTGTGTTCTCTTGCCCTCCTGTTTTTGTGTTCCCTGTGGCATTCTCTTGGCCATTGCCCTTGGCCTTCTTTGCATTCTCTTCAGCCTTCGGTTTTGGCCATCTCTGCCACGTTCTCTTGCCTTTTCTCCTTGACCTTCTTTGACACATTCCCTTTGCCTCCTGTTATGGCATTCCCTACATTTTCTTTGGCCTTCAGTTCTGGCATTCGTGGCTGTGTTCTCTTTGGCCATTGCCCTTGGCCTTCTTTGCCACACTGTCTTTGGCTTCTTGTTTTTTGCGTTTCCTCAGCATTCTCTTTGGCCCTTTGTTCTGGTGTTCCCTGCAGTGTTCTCTTTGGCGTCGATTTTGGCGTTTCCTTCCATGTTCTCTTTGGCCGTTGCTCCCGGCCTTCTTTGCCGCTTTCCCTTTGGCCTCTTGTTTTAGCATCCCTTACGGCGTTCTCTTTGGCCTTCGGTTTTGTCTTTCTGTGCCACGTTCTCTTTGGCCGTTGCCCTTGGCCTTCTGCATTGGCCTTCCTGGATTTGTTTTCTTTTGTCTCTGTTTTGGCGTTCTCTGTGGCCTTCTCCTGGGGCCTGGCCTCCGAGGAGGCCTTCTCTTCAGTGCTCTCCCTGCCTTTGCCATCCCTTTGCCTTTTGACGTTGTCTTCTCTTGGGTGTCATCTATGCCTTTGCCCTCTGTTTTGGCATTCCCTCAGCTGTTCTCCTTGCCTTTTGCTCTTAGCTTTGCCTTGGCCTTCCCCAACAGTCACTCCGAGCCTAATCCTAATAAACCTAACCTTAATATCTTCTCCCCAAACCTACACTCTGAACTGAGCCCTGAACCCCAAAGGTAGTGTTAATTGCAGCCATGACTGTATAGATAACTGTGCAAACTAACCCTGAACCTTCAATAGTGCTTTCAACTGGTCACTAAACCCATCTGTAAGCTTCTGTGTAATACTAACAAAAACCCTGCAGCTTCCCTGTTAAATACATTTATTATTTTATTTATTTATTTTATTTATTTATTAGTGGCTCTCATGCCACTTCCTGGAGCGGTGTTTGGCTTCCACGTTTTGTGGGGGTGGGCTGACAGTGAGCACCGTTTAGCTCTCGGTGTTCCTCCTTCTAAAGCATGTCTCTCTGTATTACAGGTGAAGATGCCTTTGACACTTCCAGCTGATGACTTCGCCCCGGGACACCATCGTCTTTCCAGGCCTCCCACACTCACCGCCAGCTCAGTTTGGTCGAGTTGTTACCCGAATCCCCATTTCATTCCCTTTCCATGATCCTCCTGTCACTCTGCCGCAAGCCCCTACCACCTCCCAAGGTCGTCGCAGGCAACGTGTGGGATGCGGCACTCAGTCTCATTATAGTTCATCCCATCAGCCTCAGCCCAGCGATCCAACCCTAACCCACACCCTTCCTTAGGGCCCTTCTACTCCCAGGCCAATCAGCGCTTCCTTCTGATGCCATCTGCGTTCCTTCCTGGCTGCTTTAAGACTCGTGCCCCTTTGTGGCCATTTTGAGAGTTGTGCTGATTTCAGCGTGTGCATTCAATTTATTTCAACCAAATTGGCTTCAGTTTTACATTCAATTAATGTAAACCAAATTGGCTTTAAGTTTGCCTTGCTTATGGGGTTGGGTTAGCTTTGCTTTGTTTGTTCCTAGGCAGGGCTAACCCAACCCTGTAACCAAGGGCCGGTGGAGGCGGTTTGTGTTCCTTCCCGGCCAGTCTGAGACTTGCGCCCCATTGTGGCCATTTGAAGAGTTGCGCTGATTTCAGCGTCTGCATTCAGTTTATTTCAGCCAAATTGGCTTCAGCCTTGCAGACATTTTGCATCAACCAAATTGGCTTTGGCTTTGCATTCAACTTAATTCAACCAAATTGGCTTCAATTTTACGTTCA